CGCCTCCCCTCCCGCAGGACACAGAAGACCTAGATCACTATGAAATGAAAGAAGAAGAGCCAGCTGAGGGCAAGAAATCAGAAGACGATGGCATTGGGAAAGAAAATTTGGCCATCCTAGAGAAAATTAAAAAGAACCAGAGGCAAGATTACTTAAATGTACGTGCCTTCTAGTGAGAGGCTGGGTGAAGGGCTTGGTGGGTGATGGCTGGGAAGTGGTAGGCCATCACATATCTGTGGGGAGCAGTCTCCTTTTTTGGGTGTGCCTAACCCGTCCCCAAATCCTGAGCGAGTCACCAGACTACCCCAGAGGTCTGGCATATGTGTTTCCAAACCACGTGACCAAGAAAAGTTTCTGTCATCCCTCTCTTGCAGGGTGCGGTGTCTGGCTCGGTGCAGGCCACTGACCGACTGATGAAGGAGCTCAGGGATATATACCGATCACAGAGTTTCAAAGGCGGTGAGTGTGCAGGGCCTTAGGAGGTCCTCAGATGTAGAAAGGCTTAGAACTATTTAGCCAAGAATGGAGCATGTCAGGCCAGTGGCTTGGGTTGGATTCTTATCCATCTGGGGTCAAACCTAGAGCTTTTTGCTCTTTTTCTTAGTCTGGGAGAGGGGTTAGAGACTGCACCCCCACCCCCCTACACACACCCCATGGTCCTTTCTCCTAACACTTGCCTTCTTCCATCTTTCCAGGAAACTATGCAGTCGAACTCGTGAATGACAGTCTGTATGATTGGAATGTCAAACTTCTCAAGTGAGTGGGGACTCTGGGACCAAAGAGGAAATTGAGGAGGGGTGTGAATACAGCCACCGTGGTGGGATCTCCAGGGTGGTCCCACTTGGCCTGTGGGTTGCAGGGTTCCAGGAGCAAGTATGCCAGGGGTGTGTCCACCTGCTATGAGCTGGGGAGTGGGAACCCTCATGCAGCCCATGAGCTGGGACCAGGAATCTCAGTCCAGACTCGTTGCTTCATAGAGTTGACCAGGACAGCGCTTTGCACAATGATCTCCAGATCCTCAAAGAGAAAGAAGGAGCCGACTTCATCCTACTTAACTTTTCCTTTAAAGTAAGACTGCTTTCCTCCCAGCGTCTCCCCCTAGCCTTGCCTTCCCTGTCTGCCTTACAGTCCTGTGGACGCTGGCCTCCCTTTCCTGATTGTCTCTGTCTCTCTCTCAGGATAACTTTCCCTTTGACCCACCATTTGTCAGGGTTGTGTCTCCAGTCCTCTCTGGAGGGTGAGTGGCTGGGCAAGGGGAAGAGGGCCGCTGCTGTGGCATAGGGTGAGAAAGGGACTTGGCGCTTTGGCCAGGCACGGCTGACTAACCTTTCTTCTGCAGGTATGTTCTGGGCGGAGGTGCCATTTGCATGGAACTACTCACCAAACAGGTGAGTCTGTCGCTGTCTTGGCTGGGCCGCCCTGGGCGGGGCAGGGCCGAGCTTTACCCTGCACACTCCTGTGGGTTTGGTGATCGGCATTGGGTGGCCCTTTCATTCTCCTGGGCAGGATCTGCACCCACTGTCCGAGCTGCCTCAGTGGTGGCTGTACTTGGAGTGAAGGGCAAGGGCCCTCCTAGAGGTGCAGAGCTTGCCCAGGGAATAAGCGTGAGCAGTCCCGGGAACTCTGCCGACTGTCCCTCCGTTCCCAGGGCTGGAGCAGTGCCTACTCCATAGAGTCCGTGATCATGCAGATCAGTGCCACACTGGTGAAGGGGAAGGCCCGAGTGCAGTTTGGAGCCAACAAAGTAAGAGGCCTGGACCCACGGCTGGGGGCGGTGACTGGAGTTAAGGACAGTGCAGGCCACTAGATGCAGGCCAAGGCTATGGGCTCCAGGGCTCAGATTTCCTGGAGTGTCCACAGTAGGTCCAGGAGCAGACCCTTGGCCTGAGGGCAAGACTTTTGGGAGGGCACAGGTCTGAACAGGGAAGGCCATGGGCTTGTATACCCAAGGGGTCTCCCAGGTGGAAGTCCTTAATGGTCACCAGTCCATAGTGTTGGGGGCTCTGGGTGGCAAAGTGAAGGTGGAAGGTGAGGGGCAGCAAGGCCACTGCCGGCATGGCCTGATCTGGTGGCTTCCTCTCCCCAGTCTCAATACAGTTTGACAAGAGCACAGCAGTCCTACAAGTCCTTGGTGCAGATCCACGAAAAAAACGGTGAGGCTGGAGCCAGGACTCAGGAGACGCGGACACTTGCCAGGCCCCAGGTTTTCTATTCCAGCCAGAGAGTAGGTCTCCCCCGTTGGCTTCTGAGCCTTAGCACCCATTGACACAGCACCTGCCCCATTTCTCCAGAGAAGGGCTGAAGGTGGCAAATGCCCACAACCTCCTCTCCTAGCAGAGTAGCAGCGGTCATGAGGATAGGCTTGGTGCTGCCCCTTCGCCCGACCACCCTTTGAAAGAGCCTGTCCGACTCCACTGTCTGCTGAGGTTGGGCACATCATCCTCCCTTTTTCTTAGCTCCAGGAGGGCAGTTTCTCAGCTGCCTGTACCTATCCCTGCACTGGTAGACAGTCCTTCCTAGGCTTTTTGCCTTTACCTGGAGCTGTGTATTGGGGCTGGAGGCTGCCTCCAGCTCACTGTTTGGCTCTGTTTCCTTGCAGGCTGGTACACACCCCCAAAGGAAGATGGCTAACCCTGGAGTGTCGCCCCCTTCCTCCTCTCCCAGGCACCACTGGACCAATTAGCTTTGAATGCTGTATTTGGATCTCACGCTGCCTCTGTGGTTCCCTCCCTCATTTTTCCTGGACGTGATAGCTCTGCCTATTGCAGGACAATGATGGCTATTCTAAACGCTAAGGAAAAACAAACACACACAGAACTGTTCCAAGTACTCAAGACTGACTTACAGACCAACCACCTTGCTGGAACCCTTGCTAGCAGGCATTCTTATAAAAGAAACTTTCGAGCCTCCTTATATTGCTGGATACTCAGCTGTGCTCCAGACTAGAGCCTCCTTACCTATGCTATGGATTTTTAATTTATTTTCTCTTATTTCATGTACACTGCTTTTTTTGGTTACAGTGTATGATGGATGTGTATGAAAAAAATGTATCTTTGGGAAAACAATTACAGTTTGTTAATTTGAAGATGCTGGTCTTGACTCATCTTTCTTACTCCCCACATCCCACCCCATCCCTGGAACGACTTGGGCGGTGCGGGAGGGGCCGAGCCCACCATACGTCTGCTCACAGCAGGAGGAACGCGGAGCTGGAGCACTCGCCGGGTCCGCCCCTAGACTTCCGAAGCTTCTGCAGTAACCAGCACTCGTCCCCCTGGAACGCAGAGCCCAGCCTGCTAGGCTACAACGTAGTAGGCCGAGATGCTAATCTCAATTCTTAGGATGACTTTTCTAGTCATAGATGTTTTCCAATTTCTAAGAAAAAGAAAATGAGGTTCAAGAGGCTGCTTCCTAGAAATCCTTTCGAATGAGTGGAGGGAGACGGGGGCAGTCTCCCACACATGTACGTGCTCCTTTGTTAGCAACGTGCCGTGAGGCGGCGACTGGTGTTCGTCCATTGGTTCCTCTCCCGGAAAATGGCTGCTCACTAGCGCTGGATGGTGGTCGCTGGAAAGCTTGGTTCACCTTCCTCCTGCCTCAGGCTTCATTTGGTTTTGTCAAGAAGATAGAGTAACAGAAGTAAGTTGTTTGGAGACTTGATTCCTTCAAACTGTTCCCGTGAGGTTAGCTTTAAGGGGTCTGTCTGCACACCTGTGTCAGCCGAGGCTCGGGGACCAGCTGGGGAGGGAAGTGGTGGGGCTGTGTGCCGAGATGGAACTGTTGGTGCCATGTTGTGTACATGCTGTTGTAACTGTTAGGGCATGACTGCGTGTCATGGGGCTGCCTGCATCTCCTTGTCAGTGTGCTCTGGGGCTGGGACAGCCTTGTAGGACCAACGGCTCAGAGTGGATGCCGAAGCGGAGCCCTGAGTCTTAGAGAACGAAGACTTGGGACAACTGCCCAAGAACCTGCCGGCTGCCAGAGCTCCACGACATGGAGACAGCCATCCTACCACCGGTCACTTCCCCCCTGAGGGATTGTCATGTCTTGCTGCTTTAGGTGGAGAATTTGCCAGTCCTGCTTGATGCTGCTCTAACTCTACCCACACCCACCTGATTAGGGGTGCTAATATTTGCCGAGCTTGAGATCAAGAGAGGACACGGGAAGATTCATTCCATAAAGCTGAAATCTGGTTTTCCGGGCCTCCATGGCTTTCTTCCGAACTTTATGCCAGCCCTGGCTGGCACGTAGGTTGTGTTTTTAGTAATGTGTACTGTGAGCTGTCCTCTGTATAATGTATTTTGTAATGTATTTTTCTCATCTACCAAAGGATGAAACAAATAAAAGTTATTTAAATAGTTTGGCTCTAATAAAATTATTTAAATAAATAGGGTTTACATTCACTTGACAGGAAAATGGCAGCTCCTTTGAATTGGATAACACCAACTCTTAAAAGAACCTTCCATTTTTCTGGTCAAATTCAACACTTTTTATTTTTTAGAGATTTTTGCCATAGGGCATCGTGTTCTTGCCAAAGAGGGAAAGTGAGAAATCACCCCCCACCCCCAGAGGGAATGGCCATGCTGCGATCCCTCCTCCATTCTTCTGGGATCTTGGGCACACATGCACACGTGCCCAGCTTGAGTTTTAAGCCACTGGGTCCAGGACTCAAACCTAGGTGGCCCGTGGGGGAGTCCAGCGATGTAACCATGATGCCATCTGCTGGCCCCTCAACACTCTTTTATGGCCTTAGGTTTAGGGTAGTAAGTAGCAAAGCTACAAAGTATTAAAGAGAGGGCCACGTGGTAAGTCCAGAGAAATGAGACTCTTGTCTTACACTTGGAGAGTATGTCTATACCGCAGGGGGGGTGTGCATGGCCCAGAGCCCACAGCTGGAGCTGAGTGAGCACGCCTGTCCACACCAGCTTCTCAGCCTCACTGCAGTGGCTTTCGAGGGCAGATCAGGGGTGACTAGAAGTGACAATGAGTCCAAACTCAGGAAACATGCCATTTATTTGCCACAGTGACAGCTCCTTGGTTAGACACCCTCCACCTGATTGTATATGAAACACCAGGGAAACTAGACAGGAGGTCACTCCATCTTCCACAGTCTGTTAGGGAAGCTCATATCCCCTGGGGTGCAAACACTGGCTGTCTCAGGCCCCGACCAAGACAACCAAACAGCAGCTTCCTGTGTTTGGCTCAAATGTTCAGGCCAAGGTTAGGAACTGAAGATGGGAAGAAGGAGACTTCATTCTCTTCTGAGAGGTGAGCTGGGGGGAAAGCCAAAATGGAAATCAAGGCAATCCTGGGCATTGCCTGGCTTTCTGCACCTCCAAGGCACTAAGGGTGAAAAGAGTACAAGAGGGGAGAGCAGGCAGACTCGGCGCGAGGCAGAAAGGAGGGAACACGCGTGCGGCCCCGTCACTTCAACTCTTCAAACTTCAGGACGTGTGACTGCAAGAGAAAGGGCGTCTCGTGGGGCGGAGTGCCTCCAGCCGGTCCACCCAAGCCCTCGGGTAACCTGTTTTGTCTAAGGGAAAGCCAGGTAAATAAGCAGTGTCCAGGCCCAGCGGTCTGCAACTGAGGCCCGAAGGAAGTGGAGAGAACGGGATGAACACGGGCAAGTACCTCCAAGTTCAAAGTGCCAGTGATTTTCCCTTTGAGAATTCGATGGACAACCTGACTGGAGCTCAAAACATCTGCAAAACAAAACAGGGTAAGTAACAAAATCTGGGTGGCACTCCTTAAGGCAGCAGCAACCCAGCAGGGAAGCAGCGGGTGGGGACGGGAAAGTACTCTGGCTGTGATCAGCTCAGACCTACAAGTCTCTGCTAGCTCCCGAACCCTCCTGCTGATTGCCTCTGCCTGCCAGGATGCACTGAGCTGATAAATGCTGAAAAGGTGGGAGGGGGGAGGGCCGAGGAAGAACGTGTAAAAGGAGGCGTTATTATTGTTGTTAACGTAATTACAGGGATCTGGGACTTTATATTCTCTAATGGGAAATTCTACTGGGGACAGAAAATTGTGTTCACTCAACTCTGAGAGTTCCAGCAGGAGAGAAAGATGGAGGTTCAAAGCAGGGAGCTTTTCAGCATGATGATGGAACATTCTGGAAAAATCAGGGCAGGGAGCTGATCTATCAGGTCAGATGTTGGTGCAGCATTAACCTGAGGCTCTGCGAGGCCGACCCAGTGGGCAATTTCTGGTTTGCGTCTGGAGATCTCCCTGTACACCCCCCTGT